TATATTTTTGTTAGAATAGGGTGAAAAGACATCCCTACAAGAGTCCTGTGTACCTATGACAATGGGTTAATTTGTATCGTGTCTTTTATTTCCAGCATCAACAATGATGATCTCTTCACTCAAAGACGACATCCAAGGACCCGGTTTAGATCTCGAACCAAGGAGAGCAGTTTATAGAAATATGAATGATTAATAAGGGGAGAGAAGATGACTCTTTAATAGAAATTTCAGGATACGTCTCATCTGGAAGAATATCATCAACCAAATTTTCTACAACGGGAGGTGAAATATTAGAAATGTATTCTAAAGGAGGGACGGTTTTAAAATTTGATTGCTTCCTTTAATTCCAGCTAGAAGAAAAATCCAATCATTCCTGATCAAGTTCCTGAAGCCTCTTATTGGGTGGACCAGAACAAAATACCCACCCTCACTGGTGAAGAAACAATGCCTAAAGAGAAGATTTTTTATTTTTTTACTCTTACTCATAACTTTAATAGTTGGATCCATTTTCTGGATTATTTTTGTAACTCAACTTGCATTTTTATTTTTTGCTCTAATAAATCTATATTTTTTCTAAAAAAGAGTAACGTTGTTGTAATTGGCAAGTTTGTAGAATAGTCAATATCAGAAAATAATCTTTCCTTACTTGCTCAACAATTTTATTGGTGATCAATAAGAAGTTAATGAAAATATATTAATTCAAAAATGTTTAAACATGTTATAGCATGATCAAAGAAAAGAACAAAATACTGAAGATGTTTTTTATTTCTTGTGTTTGGACTTGGCCCGAACAATGGATAATGGTTTCTGAACAATACCTTCCTTGGATGATTTTTAACGAGCTACAGTGCGTAAAAAAAAGGTAGTTTAGTCATGCACCATGTTTAATAAAACATTTAACGCCAGAGTAAAGTATAGATGAATTTAATGCACTTGGAAAAAGTTGGAGAAAATATGTCGGTCATTTTCCTTTTTGAAAAAGTTGGGACATTATGTTAAGTACACCTTATGGTGGAATCTTTGGTTGAAGAATCATAAAGTTAAAAAGAAAGATTTAGAACATCTAGAAAAAGAGAAGTTTAAACATTAATCAAATATACTTGCTTTCAAGAGCTCCTGGGATCATGCTTTCTAAATCATCTACAGTTTCAGTATTATAATCTATTTGACTTCTTTCACCATATACAATAGGAGTAATTTTTCCAAGCAGATGGATTGAAGTTGATTGAATAAATAAGTAGATATGAAGGACTGGCTTGTCATATAATATGTTGTTGCAGTTGGTTCATAGAAACAGAAGGCGGGTGATTATAAAATAGGGACATATATTGTTTTCTATATCTTATGATGTTAAATTTCTTAGGCAAAATGAATAAAGATTTTCTTGATGAACAACGTACTTGGGGATGACCTGAGATAAATTAATGTAATATGAGGCTTGTGCATTGATCATCTGAGTTTGCAAAGTTTTGGCTTTCTCAACCCTAACAATGTGTTGCCGCATTTTAGTCCCACCTTTCTTGATGGTGCAAAGAACTTGAATTAGCTGTGGATCAATTGCAACAGTTGGCAGGCTTCTAAAAATCCATATGAAGTAGTGTTGTAAGCGCGGAATTAATAGTTTGGTTGTTGTTTCCCTGCATGGTCTTGATTATTTATATAGTTATTTCTCTAAACATACGTCTCTGAGTTCGAGAATGAGTGAAATTTGGTACACACTGAAAATATTTAACAATACCCCTATGAATATTGTACCACATCCAATTAAACGATTAGAAATTTAAATAATAAAGTAAGGCATAAAATTTTGTAAATAGAACTCAAGTATTTCTAAGAAATAATTCTTGATTTAAAACTATTAGAAATAGCACCAAAAATTTGATGAAGTATTGAGTTGACGGAAATTATATTGAATAGAACTTGTGATTGTGGCTTATAGTTGACGGTATAAAATAAAATGAAGTCGAAGTTGTAGTTACCTCATTTACATCAAAGATGATTTTATACTCTTTTTACTAATGAGTTTCCAAGTCGAAATCATAGATTTTTTAAATCGCGAAATAATTTTAAAATAATAATTACAGTGAGTTTGTGATTGCGATTGTGCAAAGTAAAATATATGAAAGAAAAAAAAAAGAACTCTAATTCTTATAAAGCAAATTAAAGCAAAATATAATGGGTGAATGTTGGGATATAATTAAGGTGGCGGATACTAGTGCATGAGATGTTAGCGAGTGAACTTGACGGATATATGATTATAATGAAGTTCGGGAAAGGTGGGAACTATGTACTTGTGTAATGTGGTTGAAATTTGATGAAAACATTGGGTAGAAGTGTTGGAGAAATTTTGAGTTTATATATTTATGATGGGAAGAGTGGCATGAGTTATTTGTGTTTAAGATTAGTTATGATAAGAAATGACTAGATTATCCTAGGTGAAATTTGCGAGGTGGTGTATTTATATTAGTTGCAATATACTTGTTGAGGAGAAAATTTCAACAAAAAATAGTGAAATTCGAACAAACTTCGAACTTGATGTTTTGTACTTGAGATTTGAAATATTTAAATACATGACTTAATTACATTAAAAAGTAAATGAAAATAGACTGTATTAGTGATGATCCTAAACGAAGTTATCTGAATTCTTATCGGTTGAAAATCCTTTAATCCTTCCCACTGAAGTCCTTTTATAAAAACAATAAAACTATCTTTGACTGTTTATCAATCAGTTACCTAGATTGAGCGCTTAACTGACGAGAGTTTCACACCCCACTTCTCAAACTACAATATAGACAGTAGTCTTTATCACCTTCTCAAAGTAATAATCACATTGTTTCACTGTCATATAAAGGTTTATAACAAACCCTTTTATGGATGCTTAAGATTTTTCTCACTTTCTCCTTTCAAATATACAAATTCCTTTGTATAAAATAATCTTTATCATCTTCTCTTTCTTACATCATCCCTTAATTTCTGGAAAATCACATTCCTTGTAATGGCACACCACATTCCTTCCCTTCCCTTTGATGGATCTAACCCGAACATTGATCTTGTTTTGTCAAGGGTTCTAATTCCAAACCTTCGCCCTTATTGCACAACCTCAGAAGATGCAAAGTGAGTGCAGGAGATACTAAGATCTCTTCCTTAGATCGTAAAATCCACCTTATCAATCCAAAAAATGCCTTTCGAACTTGGCACTCAAGATTGGACCCCACACTTTTAAGATAAATGGCAACGGAAAGGGCTTGATAAGGCTATCTTCCTCTCCACTAACGTTTTCCACCTTCACGAGAAGGTTTTGCTAGCTATTGAAGCATTATGAGATCACAAAGTCAACACCTTTTTACTGCCCGCAGGTCCCATCAGCCCAACGTTAATGGACGTAGCCATGATCGCCTACCTCCTAATTGTGGACGAGCATCCAGTGTTGGCACCCTCAATGGTCAAGAGCTCCCTTTTGACCATGCGAGCTAGGGTTTGACCGACATACATGATAAAAAGTGGACCAACATCGCACCTTGTACAGAGGTCTTCCTCACACCCATGCGACCAAGAAACACAAACCACTTTCCTTATATTTTCTTGCTCTATCGGTACGTCATTCTCTCTCTCTCCCTCTAAGTGTGTACTCCCTATTCATTTAGATTTCGAAATACACTTAACTTCCGATCATTTATTTTCAATTTGCACCTTCTTTCTGGCCAACCTTTTTAGGGTCTTTCTCAAGTCAACACCCGCTTACTTGATACTAAAAAATTAAATAATGTATGTTCAGGTTCTTTTTGGTTTCTTGAGCTATAGTTCATTTCTACTTTCCTGCCACTTTCTATGGTCGTCTGTCCTTTTACTGGATTCTGACCATTTCTTAGGCCTATCTTTATCCCGATTCTGCTATGATACATCCAACCTCAAACCCGCGAGAGACACTCTACGTAAGATTCTTTCTTCACCGAATCGATACCCACTACTATGCCCTCCAAATATAAGAAAATATTCCATAACTATTTTTGGCTTTGTTGTAATACCGACTACCCTATTCCTTATTTAGATCCTTTGCCTAATCTAACCTACCCATTTCCTGGGATTCAACCCTGAAGCCTAGATCTCTATTCTAGTAAGAGACTTGATAAAAAGGGCCGCAAATCATACTCCCACTTTCCATTACCAACCTCAATTCTTTGCACGCCAATTCGGCTATCGCCAGGGTCTACCTGTTCTAGTAGTCGCCAGCCGTCACCTTATCAACCAAAGCCCTAACGGTAGCGTTAAATCCTACTTTTATTCAACCTTACCTTACCCAACTCCTTAATACATTACTTTAAACTCGTATATCCCATTCAAACCTTCTGTCAAAATTGTTGACTCATTTCCCGAGTGGTGGTTGGTTACCTGGGCACAGGTTGGCCACCCGTGCAAAAAGCTGATAGGCCTTCTGGAGACTATTGTAACCATCGAGCCTCAACCGCCTCTGCCCTACCGCCGACCACTCCCCACAAACAGGCACATATGGTTGAAGCTGACCCTAGTGTTCCCAAAAAGAGGACCAAGACAAAGGTAGTTGCTTGAACAAAGCTCAGTGGCCCAACCATGGTACATTAACAAGCTATTAGTGAGTACCTAGCTTATCTACCCATAGATACCCATTGGCTGTCGACTAATCTCCCGCCTTAAGCTTTTTCCTAAAATCAGTAGTATTTCTTACTATTTCTCTCATACTCTGGTTTTTTTAGCTAATCCTACTAAAATGCCTTTCTTGTAGTTCATCCGATTTTACCGACCACTAGCGCCCCTGAACAAATTGCCATTCTGACTGACTTTCCTCAAGCCTTCAGACCAATTACTCAGGCCACCCCCATCGAATTGACTGCGCGCCTTAAATTGCCTCCACCAGTGATTTCCTTAATGATATTTTGTTTGTTTTCTTATTCTGAAGTTTACTTACATTTATGTGTTCTAGGCGCCCGTGCAACAGCCGTCTGAGACCCAACTTCCCAACCCACAAACAGACCAAACTCAACCAAGCTATACGTACCGTGTATGAAGAACCGCAGATAACCGGTCGGAAGAGGTACCGACCATGAGGCAAACCCCTGCAGCCGATTATTCTGTCTGAATGGTTTCTCTCCTTGATATGACTTTTTCCTTGAGGATTCGTATTTACCTTTCGTCTTCATCTGACTTGACACCTTTCCTAGGTACGTACTACCATTTATGAGGCTGCTGGCCAATCAGTTGGTGCAGCCGATCAACATATCGAGGACGTTAATCAACTGACTAGAATTGTCAACCAACCTTCGGGCGACCAGGTGAGGGAACCGCATGTACATTTAGAAGACATATCTTTCTCCAACTCTGGGAACCCCTCCATTAGTCAAGAGGTTGGGGGCTTGATCGAAGCCTAAGAGAAAATGGTGAGTTTAAAATGATTCCTTAGTTCGTGCCCCTATCTAAAAACCTCACTGCAATTTTCTTACATAATTCGGAATGTAATCCTTTCGGGCCCAACCCCCCACCCGCCGGTGAAGAGTCAGAAGTTGGGGTCTGGGCGCTCTATGGATCCCCCTTCACAACACCTCTCATTGCCCATTGCCCCATCTAACCTTACTGTCGTCCAGGGCCAGGTATCAACTTCTCCCTCCATTGACTGCACAAACAGTACCGTACTGAAACTTCACTTATATCATTTATGCTCACAGGGCCAAACTAACCTCACACCCTTAGCCAGTATTTCCATCACTCCCGAGGCTCGGCAAGTGATGACCAAATGTGCCTTAATTTCCTTTCGTGACCTGGACGATCAGACCTTCAAGCCTTCGCTCAGTTTCATGCTTCATTTGTTGGTTCATCCCTCTGTTGATCCTAGTGCCACTCTGCACCCACTTATGGAGCGGATCCTAAAGTACAAATTAACTTCTTTTTTTTTTTTTTTTAATGCGGATCTATCCAGCAAGACATTCTCAACTGTTTGCAACCGACTCGCTCTAGATTGAAAACTTCATCTCCAAGGCCGATGAAAATCTTAGGCAAGCTCATGATCCCCTTGAAGGCCTTCTCCACTCCGGATCCATTATGGCCGAGGACATCAACACCAAAAAAGTAGAGTCTGATCGTCTATCAAAAGAGCTGGATGGACTTCGGAGGGAGATGACCACCCTGGATGGTTGCATTTACGAAGAGAAGCAATTAATAGATGACTATCACTAGAGCCGAACTCAACTTCCTCATGAGCTGCAAACTTTAATTCAGTCGAGGCTTATGCATGAGCATTACGTCGCTTTTCATAATCACAAAAACGGCCAACTTGAGCTCAAATTTTTCGACATCCGAGTTGCACTAGATGCTTTTCTTGTAATAATTTTCAGTTATTTCCTATTTTGATCAAGTCATATTCTCCCTTTAACTAAGTGTATTTTAGCGGATCCAAACCTTCCAACCACACGCCATAACAAGAGATTGAATCTGAGATTTAAACTTAATCTATAAATAAGGAATACGTCATGATATCCCATTGCCTTTCCAAACTCCGCCTGATACATATCTACTACTTCTCCTTATCACCACTAAAAAATTCCTCCCCACGCATTTGAATCCTTAGCAGAGATTTGGGGAAACTCTCTAGAACTCTTCCTGGTTGGGTAATATCCTTTTTGGTGGTCACACACAGAAGTCATGATAGAAATACTAAAACAACTTGATTTCAAATTCAAATTTTCACAAAGTGGAAGGAGAACATACACCAACGCCGTGATCATGAACGTGTTTTGAGTGTGTATGAACCATTCCATGACATCCTTAGTTGAGTGCTCGTACTTGATCATCACATGGACCTACTAGAACATCATGTCATGGCCATTCTTCCAGAACTAAACTGGAACAAACTGTTTTCTCAACAAAGATCATCTTTTTTAAGACTTTGTATTCTCTTTGATCAAGAACGCCCAATCTTTGCTAGACATGAAGATTCATACCAAATAGGATTTGGATAAAATGCAGGAATAGTGGGAACGGTACCATCCTGATCTTGAAGACTTACTGGATGAAGAACTAGAACCGACCTCCAACCAGTGGGATGGAGATTTTGAATCAGAAAAAGAATATTCTTATATCACCCTTTTGGATGATGAGTGAACCCAACATAGGTTAGAACCCTCATGGGATTTTGAATAAACCCAATGAATAATGTTAGTTTTTGTTACTTAAAAAAGCATGATAACATATTTTCAAGTATTTAGCATTAATACTCCCATGTAGTAGTTCATCCTCTTGATCCATATTGATAATAAAAGTTCCATTTCCAATCTTTGTGGATATATTAGTCTTTCCCAATTTGTAGACCATTTCCCTAACTGATCAATTTCTTGTAGATAAAAAAGTATATTCTTCCATACCAGATCTCCTTCTTTAAAAGTCCGATACCAAACATTCTTACTATAGTACCTTGCTCGCGCTTTGTTCTGTTTGACCATTCGATCGATGACTGCTAATCAGATGGTATCCAATTGTTCCAATTTTGTATCATATTCTACTGGAATTCTTCACTGACATCCACTGTTGTGGCTGTTGTTCAGGCTGATGTAACCTGAAGTTCTGCGGGTAACACTGCGTGCTGTGTGAACGTAAGTTGATACAGTGAGAATCCTGTAGCCGAACTCCTACTATTCCGATGTGCCCAGAGAGCTTGTGGCAGTAACACATGCCATCTCTTTGGATTCGTTTCTATCATTTTGTTGATGATACCAATGAAAATTTTGTTCGCCCCCTCAGCGTGCTCATTAGCTTGTGGTAGAAGAAGGATGTTCACAATGTTTTTAAAACTCGTCAAGCTAACTCACCAGATATTTACAAACAAAAATAATAAAAAAGCCTTGGGTTCCTTGTCCAAAGGGTGGCCTTGACCTAAACCCTTGAAAGTTGGGATGGAAACAAGAATCCTATTTTCCAATGATACAACCCACAATCCAAAATCCTATTCTAGAAGCTGAAAAAGCTTGGCTCTTTTTTTTAGTGAAATTATACTCTGAATTGGAAGTCAAAAGAGGATTTGTGCTTCTTATCACAACCTCTTGCAACCTTCAGGAGTCCTTCGGAGATTTTCACAATGGAAAAAGTATTTTGTTTCCATCGATAGTTAGAATAATCACCGGAGTTTGGATGGTTAGAGGAAGTTGAAAAGAGTTTTCTATTCAAGAATTTCTTCTTAAAGAAAATGACGAGGATATGAACACATAATTTGAAAGAAAAAAAGAGAAAAAAGTTTTACGGGGAGAAGAATGTGATTTTTAGAATGGTTTAAAATATTGATTTTTGAAACCTTCTTGATTGATGGACATAAAAGATGAATACAAAAATTTGTTTATTATGAAAATAAGAATGATTATGGGAATATTATTTCAATCCATAAATGGTGTTTGTTTGGGGGATTGGATTTAATTTTCACTATTCATCCAATTTTTTTTCCCCAAAAATATCAATTCAAACACCTAATTTTTATTTTTTACATTATACTAAAAATCAATTTTACATTCAAAACATCACGTCAACATCTATTTATATCACATCATACAACTATTTAAATTCAAATTTTTTACTGTTCAAATCTCAACTCAAAATCCAAACCCCCTAACAAACACAAATAAATCATAGCTATGCTCATATTTCTATTTTGGGGATGGACATGGAAAGGGATACGAACATATTAATTATCATTTTTACTCTACCTTATGCTTATGTTATTTTCTAGCAGTTTATCTATATTTTGCTATTGTCTCAGCATTCTTTATCATAATGAGTTCTGGAAAGGTAATTTTTGGTTGTTCAAAATCATTTTTCTATTGGTCAAACAATATCCGAATATTTTTCATATAATTTAAAAAAAATTATGATATATCAAAAGTTGTAGAGTTCATTCATTTTAAGGCCATTATATGGAATAGACCAATTCTAGTCGTGAGAAATTCTCTAGAACACTCTTGGGACCTAACATTGGTGAGATATCCCTTAACCAAAATATCACCTTATTTTGGTGTAAAATTTTCAAAACGAGATATTGAAGATTCGACAAAAATCACATATATTATTTATAAACAAAACTTACTTTCGAAAAGTAATTAATTAAGAAATTTGCTCAATATTCATATACTAACCTTCGTTTGTCTAATAACAAGATTTCAGGCATCGGAAGCTGAAACCTCGACTGCTGCACAAGGTAGGGGAGCTATTGAAGTGGGAGAATTGGTAAGAAAGTAAATAATATATGTGCTAAACATATATGGTTCAATCTATATAAATATATATCTATATCTATAGATATTATTTTTTCTCAATGCAATGTGCCTGCCTTCTCAGTTTATTTTCATTAGCAACACTATTTATATCATAAGAAAATAAATAAAGTATTTTATTTAATTAATAGCAGCACACAGTTCCTCCGTACCATCTGGATAATGAAGATCTTTTTTCCGTATATTACAAGGCAGTTTCACATTCAAATGCTCCACCCCGGTAATTAAGTATTACTATAATACGATTTATGATAATATATATATGTGTGTGTTTTTTTAATAATAATAATAAATAAATGCATTAATTGCATTAGATCTGTTTTTGATTTTAGTATAATTGCATAAAATATTTTGCCTGAAACTCCTTGTGTTAAATTAAAATATGATGATGCTTTGTTGTAAACACTAACCTAATTATATATATGCAAATTTTATACAACCAAAATAGGTAAAATATCTTAAATAGCTTTACTTGAATAAATTAAAATAAATAAATAAATAATTGATTAAGTCTTCATCTTTATACCACTAAAATATTTTGTACATAGTTTATTTTGATACAAAGAATTTTACATAATAAATAAAATACACAATGGTATATTATATAATTTATCCATAATAATAATAATAATAAAACCAAACATTTTTATTTTGAAGCATATATATAATTATTGTTAAGAAATTATTAATTTCATGTTCTCAAAAAAGACACCAAGGAAACAATAATGATTCAACAAGGGAGAATCCCGTTGGAAGCAGCAGAGGCATCACTCCTTGTCCGAATATTACTACGCCTTCTCAACTTCGATCATTTCGGCCCCAAGAACAGCTGTTTGAAGTTTCTGTAAGTTGTCTAAGTATGCAGTCAACTAAAATGCAAAACATTGCAATAAAATTATAATATATGCAAATTGAACTCTTTATGTATTAACTCTTAAATTGAAATTTTGTTACTTGATCAAATAAAATTGTCAAATAAATAAATGTGTATTGTACATATGCAGACTGGAATGTTGCAGGATAATTCAAGTTCTTCTACTCAGGCTGTGCAGATAGATAGGAGTCCTATGACATTGGAGTTTCCACAACACAAAGGTATAATTGTTAAGAATAAACCCATAAAGAGTTACTCTAATTTTTATGCATACTACTTTTTCGAGTTCTTCGGTCCGTAATGCAGTTTTAATAACATACGTAGAGAAACTATGCATAAAATACTTTTCAAACATACGTTCTAATACTGTTATTATTAAGATATTCGAAAATAGAAATAATAGTTTGCTCTAATTTAAAATATAAGTAAATAATCAGGAAATTGCAATTTTATGTGTTTCTCAAGTCTCCTCAATTATGGAAGTCAATGTTAGGCATAATACATTGCCTTAAATCAGTCCAAAATCAAGTGTGACTGGCAATGGCTCGACTTGTATCAGATTGAATTTTTTAAACGGGTGAAACCACCAAACCCTAACTCAACTTGTTTATTTACCGTGTCAAATTTGTGTTGATCCATTTATATAATTGGATCTAAAATTTTGACACAAATCCTATTATTGTGTTTGATTGTTGTGTCATGCTAGTTTTTTTACAACTCTAGTATAATATGTATAGTGAATTAAGCTTAATAATTTAAGATTGAGCTTAATTTAAATTAATATATAGACAGATTATTAGATTAAAATTATTGTACATATATAATAAATTAATATTATTATATTATAATTAAGTTGTTTTGTGTAAGTTTCAAGTTGAGGGCATCAACTCTAATCCAATTCATTTATTAACATGTCGAGTTCGTATTGACCAATTATATAATTGTGGTAAACTTTTTAACTAAAATACAATTATTTCATATCGAGTTCGTTGTGTCATCTTAATATTTCCAGCTCTAACATCAAGACTAATTAACCAAAACACACACATTAGCAAATTCCAGCTTTTGTTTAGGAGTAATTTCCCTTATTTCTTTTCTTAGCCTATTTTAGGTGTATAAATAGGAGTTGCATGTTTTTATTTATTTTTTAAAAATTTGCATAAATTCAAGAAATTTTAAATACAAAGACTTCAGAGTTCCTCCAATCAACAATGTTTTGTTTATTTTGTTTATTCTTTTTTTTCCTTCAATATGATATAAAAATTGAGATCCCCGAAAAATAATATCATCGCTAATGGGTGACCATGACTAAAACGGTGAAAAACAAACCATGGACGAAGATGATGGTCCATCTTGCTGGCCATCCTTCATTTTGGCCGCACCATTGGTCGTGACAACATGGTGTTCCTAAAAATAGAATAAATAGTCAAGGGCATCTTATCCAAAACTTAAACACAATAATTACACAGATGAATCATTCATGATGAAATTTAGTACGGGGATGCAATTTAGTACTGGGATGTTGATCAGTAGAAAATTCGTGCAGCGTTAGAAGAACTTATCAAGGAGGTATCAAATGAGATGTGTGCAATGGCGTAAAAGTATGTGTAGATTGGATATAATCACATATATCGAGCAAAGTTATAGAAACTGCGTGCAAAGATTGAGACAATTATATTTATGAAAGACGGAGATCCAGAATATTTCACTCTTCTTTTAAGTCATTTGATTGGCCAACTTGCGGAGTATGTCAAGCTCGTCGATGAGTAGAGGGTTGTTAAGAGGTATTACTGCACCGTGCTGTCCAAGTTCAGCCATGTCATTTATACCATGGAGACAATGCATTACCTCTCTCTATTTTATCCAATAAAGAACTTATTGGCCATCTTAAAGGTGTCGAAGATTGATGTCTCTCACATTGAATGACACCAACTATAACCATAAAAAGCTAAGCTTTACTAATTGAGGATGAATAGTTGGCTTGCGACAAATACAAATAGAGCAACAAGAGAACACCGAGCAATAATGATGATCATATTCATCATCATATCAAAGGTGACCAACGAACACCTAAGATTAATGGTGGTTAGAAGAGTGGGCCGTGCGTGCAATGAAAGTAGGGAAAACTACTGTACTATAAGAAGATTGATAAGTGAGCTAGAATTGTTGGTAGCCACAATGCGAGTAGGCGTACCGCACCCCACCAAGGTAGATGATGATGAACCAACATTACTTATGGCGGAGGTATGCTCAATCACTAACAAAATTCATCTGCCACTTTCTAGATTTATCGAGCTCAATGAATCACGTGCCCAAGTTACTCTCGGGAATGAATAAAAAAAAAGTGTTGTAGTGACATACAATATCTAGATAATAGTGCTAAGAACCCTACGATTGGAAACAACGACTATTTTTTAGAATTGGCGATAAACATCACCACATTGGTGAAGTTCAATGATAGTTCAATTATTGGTATCTATAGATATTACATAGTGATGTTCCCAGATAAGAAAAGGGAACATCGTGCGATCACTAACATCAACTACATCCCAAGGCTAAAAAAAACATCGTAAGCATCGGGAACTAAATGAGAACAATTATGAGGTATAGATTTAGAAGGAGTATGGAGGATTTGCAATCAATAATGATGATTTTTAGGCAAAGTAATGCACACCAAAAACTGAATGTATATGTTAAAATTAATTAATGCAAAGCTAGGGTGTTTAATGGCACTAAAGGACAATGAGACATGATTATGGCATGTATGGCATGATTATCTAAACTTCGATTCTTTCTATATGATAGATAATGAGAACATGTTATTCAGGATCCCAATGACCATTAATCCTAGGAAAGTTACGAGTTCTATTTATTGGCAAACAAAGGCCTATTTCTTTTTCAATAGCTCAACACCATATAGACTACTCAATTTGGTGTATGCAGTGGTATCTCTAGCCAAACAAGGATCAAACACTAGCTACCATAAAAAAGTTTAAGGATAATGTCACTGTGGAAACATGACATTGTCTATAAGCCGTATAAATAATCAAAGGGGAATTGATCTAGCATGGGCAATACTACATAGATAAAGGGAATCCACAATAGCTCAAGGTACGTATTTGCCCCAATAAATAAAATGAACTAACCAAACCATAATCGGCATGACATGATCCCATAACGTATCTAGGCCTCTCAAGATGTGATATTCGATAAGAAGGCAATATGGATTGGGAAAATACTCATGATAAAAAGATGTGGCCAATATTGGAACTTCCTTCATTGAGCAAGTGATCATTATTTGAGGGGAGCCGCTTACACCTCATAATGAGGTCCTGACATCTCCAGACAAAGAATCTGTTGGGGACTCCCATTTGTGAATATATGATTAATGACTGAGTTTCTCTAATAGTTCGAGCTTTTAGGTGAGATGGCCATTGCGCATCCGACAGAATCACCATAGACATAGTGCAACATAGTTCAGATTCAACCCTAGATGATTAATTGTGTCGCTAAATATTGAGTCCTTTTATAATATCAATAATGATCACTTTAGAGATCCATGATGGTGGTTTAGGATGATAGGTGACATAGTTCAAGAACCTGTCATTAAAGATGTACACAAGCTGCGACCCATTCAGATGCCAAATGATGCTAAAACAAACGAACTCTATTGAAGAAAATAACACCTGGCAGCTAACCAAACTCCCTATTAGGCATGATAATTTGGTTGAAGTGGGTCTTCAAGATATATAGAGATGTGAATAGCTGCATCAAAAAACAAAAGGTGTGACTCGTTGTAAAAGAATATGCACAACACGAGGGGATCGACTTCAAGTAAGTCTTTGCTCCTGTATTAAGGAGATAGTCAATAAGACTTCTGCTGACTCTAGCACTATGTGAAGGTCGGTATGTACATCACCACTTGGATGTGAAGCTCGTATTTTTAATAAAGAATGTAGAGGAAGTCTACATACAACAACAACAACAACTGGGGTTTGACATCAAGAAGCAGGAGTACAAGGTTCTTAGATTCTGCAAAGTATTGTGTGGATTGCGCGAAAACCCGCGTGCTTGAAACACCAAGCATGATGATAGTCTCTTGGGTCTGCGCTTCTTTTGATGCATCGATGAGCACATATTATACACTTTACGAGGACATTATGAAGCACTAATCATCGGCACTACATCGATGAGGCAATCATTACTCAAACAGGTCAAGCCAAGATTGATTAGTTCAAATGTGAGATTATGTCCTTGTTTTGCATGAGCAACCTCGGCCTTCAAACCTACTCCTCGGCATCAGGTTCAACCATTATGAAGGTGGGATCACACTTTGTCAAAATGCCGATGTTGAGAAGCTTCATAAATAGGACGACATGGAAACTTGCAATCCTTGCCTAACTCCAATGGAAGAAAAGCTCAAGCCATCCAATATTTCGACAATTCCACACGTGAACTCTACCTCGTACCAAAGTATGGTAGGCAATCCATGCTATGGATATGTAAGTCGATTTATAGAGGATCCATAGGATGAACACCTCATTGCAGTCAAATGAATCATTCGATAGATCACTGAGGCACAATCTTTTGATGTCGCCTACCCCAAATAGAAAGGAGAAAGATTGCCATTGTCAAGTTTTAGTGACATCAACATGGATGGTGACTTAGATAGTGGGAATACACTGCTAGTACTTTTTTCTTCATTAAAAAGAGTCCGATCTCATGGTAGTCCCAGAAACAACATGTTATAGCTCCTTCTTCATGTGAAGTCGAGTACATTCCTAGTGCAACGTCAACCTGCTAGGACATTTGGCTTTATCGACTACTACAGAAAGTACTAAACAAAAATTTTATGCATCGTGTCGATGAAAAACTCACGTCATAAAAATTTGTATTTTTGTTTAGGAGAAAGTTTATTTGTTCCTTTTCATAGGCTATTTTTTGTTTATAAATAGGAGTTGCTTGTTTATATTGCATCCACTCCAAAAAATTGAAAATACAAGGGCTTCTAAGTTCATCTGATCAGCTGTGTTTTGTTTATTGTTTTGGTGTTTTGCCTTCAGTGATACAAATAATTTTCCAATCGGCCATGGAAGTAACTCTGGCACTACTCAGGGAATCTCATCGTTTTCTAGAGGCCAAGGATATAATAATGTCTCACAGCAAATGGTTAGTTTTCAAAATCACTTTTTTTTTTTTATTATAATTATAACTATTACTATTCTCATAATAAGAATTAGTAGCCGTTCTTGATGCTGCAAGCAATGAAATTATAAGTTTCGTCCAAAATTTTTCATGGTAAAGTTGTACATAGTATGCATATATATCATTTGTTCATTTCTGGATGAGTAGTCGTCTACATACAAATATTAGATTAAGAAACATCATTTTACACTGGTTGGCTGAAATATATACATGTTGCTTCCATAAACTAATCAATCTTAATACTTGAAGAGTACTGAACGTGATCGATCAATTAAACATAATTGTGCTCTAATATTGTGTAGTAAAAATTCGTGTTGTGTAACTTCCCATGTCCCATATCGGAAGTGTTATAAAAAGGCAGGGGCATTGACTCCTATAAATTGACCCATTTGGGTCCTATTTTAAAGCATGACAACAAACGTTTTTTCTTTAGTAACTAGAGATAGTGAAATTGAGATTTGGTGAGTTGTTGTGAGGCGTGTTTTACAATTTTGTCCGTGCAAGAATTGTAAAAACATTTTAGTGGATTATCCCGTTTTAGGATCGTGGATGTAGGCCTGTTGTGAGACCGAACCATGTTAAATTCTTGTGTCTTGTTATTTGGTTTTATCTCTTTTCCCTTGTGTGTGTTCCCAACAAGTGGTATCAAAGCGAGGTTATTTTTTAGCGAGGTCTTGGCAAAGGGAGGAGAGAAGAAGCAAGAGGTGTTTCGAGAGAAGTTGACGGCATGCCAGCAGTCAGGTTGCAATTCCGCAGCGGGGTTCTGGGAACACACCAGATTTCTGCCAGAAAGGTCGGTTCTGCCTGTGAGTGTCCTGGCTTTAATTGTTAGCCTCAGTTTATTTGGTTGTTGAAAGTGCTTTTTTATTGGAGAGTTATTAAACACTATGTCCATTACTATGAAATATGAGGTTCCATTCTTTGATGGAAAAAGTGATTTTACTATGTGGCAAAGCACAATTCAAGATTATTTGGTGCAACAAGGTCTTGATGTTGCCTTGGAAGATACAAGGCCAGAAGGTATGAAAGAAGGTGGATTGAAGTATGATTCGGAAAAAGGTTGTTAGCACGATTCGATTGGCACTCACCCCACAGATAAAGGTTACCGTGTTGAGGGAAACATTTCCGAATAGGTTGTGGGATACTTTGGAGAGTAAATTTTCCACGAAGACGTTGACTAACCGCCTGATTATGAAAATGGATCTATACTCTTTGAAGATGGAGGAATGAGGTAATATAATTGACCATATTAACAAGTTTAATGAGCTAGTATGTCGATTATTGAATGCAGGAGAGGAAATTAAAGAGGAAGAGCAAGCGTTGCTCTTGTTAGCTTCGTTGCCCAAATCCTACAAGCTGTTGGTGCAATTAATGTTAGTTGGAAAAACTACATTGAAATTGAATGAGACGATAACGGTTTTGAAGGAGAATGACAAGATAATGGGAAATGAAGACGCTTCAAAGAAGAGTCAAATACTAGCTGTGGGGGGTTCTGAAAGAGGGAGAAAAATGAAGAGTGACCGTGGTGTAAGCTTGAAATCCCGGCCTAGAGATTACAGCTCTATTGAGTGTCATTATTGTGGAGAGTTTGGTCACATTCAAAATCATTGTCGACTCTTTAAAGAATACTTGAGAAGTTTGAGAAATTTGAAGGATAAGTCGAAAGTTGAGAACTCTGCGAACGTGGTCAGTTATGAAGGTGATTTACTTCTTTTAAATACAAATCCTATTGAGAATTCTAATTGGGTGATGGATTCTGCTGCCGATGTCCATATATGTAAAGATCAAGCTTTATTTGATACTTTGCATACAAAGGGAGATTTTGGCTATATTAATGTGGGGAATAAGATGAAGTAGGGAATTGAAGGCATTGGAAGAGTTCGTTTGAAGCTCCACAATGGTAATTTCAAAACAATTTTAATGTGAGGTATGTGCCTACTTTTGGAGCTAATGTTATTTCATTGGGCGAGTTGGCTTCACATGAGTATAGATATATTGACACTAAAAATCTGTGCAAAGTGTACAAGAGTGACAGCTTGATTATGCAAGGGAGGAAGAAGAAACAAACAACATCTGTTATCTAGATGGATGCGCCTTGGGAGCAAATGTGGAGAGTAGCAATGATACGAAGAATCAGAAAATCGAGAAGAGAGTTCGCTTTTCTGACATGGTCGAAATATGTGAGACTATGGGAAGAGGGAGGAATTGTTGTGTAACTTCCCATGTCCCACATCGGAAATGTTATAAAAAGGTGGGGGCATTGACTCCTATAAATTGACCCATTTGGGTCCTATTTTAAAGTATGATAACAAACCTTTTTTTATTAGTACCTAGAGATAGTGAAATTGAGATTTGGTGAGTTGTTGTGAGGAGGGTTTTACAATTTTGTCCGTGCAAAAAATTGTAATAAATATTTTAGTGGATAATCCCATTTTGGGATCGTGGATGTAGGTCTCTTATGAGAACGAACCACGTTAAATTCTCGTGTTTTGTTATTAGGCTTTCTCTTTTTTTTCCCTTGTGTGTGTTCCCAACAGTTCGATATATCCAATTATATTAAAATTAGCAATATACTATGTTTTACCTCAAAGCTAAATGGTGAAAATTTACATTCATTTTCTTGAAGTTTTCTCAAGTTAAAGAACTTCATGTCTATTTCTTTATAATAGTTGTATTAATTATTTTAGTTTATTTAATTTGTTATTGGATCTTACTAACAATTTCATCTATCATTCAAACTGCTTACATCATCTGTAATGTACCAATTCTAAGGCAATGCGGGAATCTCATTCAGCATCTATACCTAATGTGATCTCTTCAAGGCTCCATCATGGACAAACCTCACAACCCTCTATGTCTTCCAGTCGAAGGTAATTGATATATATAAGTTACTTTTAACTATAAATAAATTGTAAGAATTAGAATTCAACAGTATTATTATACTTGTACTGCGTGCATGTACTTAAGAAAATCCTATTGAATTTTTACAGATTGTCATTATACGACAGAAGGTATCAAGAAATGGGTCTCCCTGTAGACCCTCATCTACGCATTTTTAATTCAGTGAACGGACAAGGTACATATTATTATTATTATTATTATTATGGTGAATTGCATAATACCTCTCTATGTTTTATTATAAATGGATAAAACACTTATGTTCTATTTTTTTGCGTAAAATCCTCTTTTAAGAACAAACTATATTTTTCATCCCAATAATGAATAATAACATGAAGAAATTTAGCACAATAAATAAAATACTAGATTTTTATTTTTTTTAATGCATTTACAATAAAAGAAAAATGGGTATTATGTAATTTACCTTTATTATATTATTATTGTTATTATTATTATTAGGAAATGACATAAGTCGTTATGTTAACATATTGCTACGGTTTCCAGGTGATGACCAGTCAACATGATAAAACACGTCAAAGCAAGGCATGGGTATAACTGTTAAGAGATAAATACTTTTTTTACAATTAATAATATTTTTATTACATTACTTACATTATTTTTATTTTTATTTTTATTTTATTTTTATCATTTTTTGTTCTCTTAATTCAGACAGTATGTAACGTTATGAGATATTGGGGACTGAAAACATACAATAATAATTTCTTCATTCATATGTATAATGTATGGAGTATGTTACGTTAAGAAGTGGTAATATAAGGATGCCCTCCCTATCGATAGTAGTGATGAGGACTCCGACTTAATTTGAATTTGATCACGTGTTGTTAATTATCTCAGTCACATCCACATTGTCAAAATGACCAAACACGATTCCAAAGTGGCAATAATTCAACAATTGTGAAGTTCTTGTTCACACAATATGATCCATTTGTTCTTAACATCACCTTGTAATCCAAAAAAAAACAAAAGAAACATCACCTTGTAATTGAAGGTTGGACACAAAATATCGAAATTGAATCATACTGACAACATTAATTAAAGTCGTCTGAGGCAATTGAAGGTTGCCATTGCCCAAAAACACCACTCATTGTACTGTAATTTCACTTTCTTTCTACTTGAAGGCCCCCGATTGGTGATTGCCCAAAAACCTTCTCAAGAAATTCGGATAATACTTTAGAAGATATGATGAAAACTATGACATCTAATATATTGCAATGTCAACAAAAAACTTGGACTTAGAATAGGAGCTTGGAGGAATAAACATTAACTATGGTACTATTTGTTGCATTTTCATGTCAACAAAGAAATAAAACAATATATATATATAAGAAATTAAAAAAAAAAAATTCTCAAAAATTACGACCATCTTATACACGAATACACCTCAATGGAACTACACTTCTCCGACACTTGGTTAAACATATATATAATCCTCCCAAATCCCCTTTCATGTCCACGCTCCCCACTCCCCATCATGGTTCGCAAAATCGGCTAACTCTATCCAAAATAGAGTTTTTTTTCATTTCGATCCTATATATAAACAAAGAAGGACAAGATGCAAATGATGGATTTAGGGTTTAGAAGACAGTGAAGGAAAGAGAAAAAATGAGAACGACGGGTCAAGGGTTTGGAGAGGAAAAAAATAAAATAAAAGAAGTTAGAGACAACTTGTTAGGATTTAGGAAAAGAAGAAGATGGAAACCGTGGGAGAAAGAAGAATACTTGGTGTAAGAAAACAATCTAGAACCAAAATCAAGGATTCGCCCAATAAATTAACAATTCTAATCCGAATCGATAACAAACAACACGATTCTATGAATTGCACATCATATACCTCAAATAAAACCAGTTTATTACAAATAAAGCTCAGGCCCTTCAGAAACCCAACAAAAAATGGTGACCAAGCCAAGAAACAAGGAACCAAACCCAAACTAGGCAGTCAACAACTCACACTCACCACAAATCCAAAATATTCACCGACGGGGCAAAAGAAAGAACACACGAATGCTTATTCGCGACTAAATCTTACTGCAAACAACTTACACTGCTTTGAAGAAAGCTCGTCGGACTAGGAAGGCACCGGTCAATGGAGGCACGCCGGAAAACCTCAAGGAATCGATTCACAGGTGAGCTCGTGAGAAATCGCGATGAAGGAGAAGAGAGATTAGGGCTGTTGTATCGCGTGAATGAATGATAATTCTCTCTTCTCAACCCACAACACATATATATATATATATATATCTAAGAAATCAATGATCCAGATTAACCCTAATTAAATGAACGGACTGGATCTAATTTGGGATAAATAGGTTGCAGGTCGAGTTACACATATTTGAGTTTGAGTTTCAGGGTATGGGTACCAAAAAACCAACACTTGGTTTATAATTAATGCATTAATGCTCTTATGGGATTGGATTATAATTGAAAGGGTTAATTTTTAAATTAGAAAATAATGAAATAATAGAATAATTTAAAATTTATTTATATATTATAATTTTTTATTACAAATTTTATAAAAAAAACATAAATCTAGATAAAAATATAATAAAATTTGTTATTAAAATAGTTTATGTTACTATGATATTAAAATAATATGCAAAAATATAAAATTGAATATATAAGTTGAATTGAGGTATAATAATTGTGTTAATACATATTTGTAACTTTTTTATATATAATTTACTTTCACTACAAAAAAAAAAAAGGTAATAACTACAGGTTGAGGGTTCGTAACAATAGCATCGTAACAAATAGGTATTTTAGTTACGATAAAATCTGTGACAAAAAAATTATTGTCCGGTCAACGCTTTAGGTACAGTAGTTTACGTAGAATTTTATGTAACAATTAGGAAAATGGTAAATTTTGGTCAAAATAATATTAGTTATCATAGATTTTCGTAACCACTGATATTAATTTCTTTTTTTCCATTTAAATTTAATATTTGAATTTTTTCTAAAAATATATATATATAAACGCGTATTTATAGTCTTCACCCAAAAATCATAACTACACAAATTAGGGCACACATTCTCCCCCTCACGCTGTTCTCCTCCCTCGCATATCGCTGTTCTCCCCCCTCCTTGCGCCGACATGACCATCATCGTCAAATTGGTTGGATTGACAAGCTATTCCGGCGCCGGCGTTCAGGTAAGGTGTTTACGTTTTGTCCACTAAGATTCAGTGTGGACCTACGGTTCTTCGTCCATTGCATTCGCAAACCGATATTGATTTGAGGAACACACAAAACTAGCTTGCATTAATCTTCCATTTCTTCTTTAGGTTCATACGGACTAGTAGATTTGGGGAGTGGCTTAGGGTATGGCATGATTGCTTTCTCTTTGTTCAGGTATGTGTCTAGAGCAAGCCATTGATGTCGATTTTTAAATTTTTTTTGTAGAAAGATTGTTCGTTGATGATATCTTGTAATTCGTTGATGATATCTTGTAAGACTCTAGGATTTCTCCAGTAATTGGTATGATATAATTGAACTAGTTTTAGAACGAGATTTCATAGTTGAAATTTACACAGTGGGCTGCCCTAGGTTTTGTGCAACTTTTTTTTATCTTAAATTTAATTGTATTATTAAAATTTTTCATCCTAATTGTTATGTTATATTTGACTAGATATATGCATATTTTAGAATAATTGAAATTGAAGGGTAACCCTTGTTTAACTATTTCTATAATTGAATATGTATACCGGAATGTGTGGCGTGTAACATCTATGATGCAGCCTGTTATATCAACTATTGGATCTTATTTTTTGCAACCTACGGATGCATGTAGATCTTGCTATGCTCATATAGTGTGATATTACATGATTGAAACCACTTTGTTTTGTTTTTTTTTCTAATCTCGTACTATAATCATCGAAATCAATTTGTAAAATTAATACCATTGCACTTATTAGTTGCAACAATATGTGAGTGCTCATATTCATTTTCTGTAAACAGTTCCTTGGGCTCCTGGTGGTTCTAAAGTTTTCCGAAACCCAGCACCACCTTCTGGGTTAGTGATTGACAACTTATATGGCTTATGTTCTATGAATATTTCATGATTCAATTTTCTTTAATTCTGGCTATTGACATCTCATTGTTTGTTTGATTTTGCATCTGCTGTTATGTAATTTGGATAAATTTCTTAAATGTATACTACCGTAGTCTCTAGTTTTTGTATCTTCTAGCTGTAAAAATTTATGAATACCTTGTAAAACTGGAAGTCATCTTATCTATGTCCTGCATGATTATGGGCTTCAAGTATCTCATTGTTCATTTGCAAACATCTAAATGGTTGAAAAAACTAACACTATGTTGTATAACGTATTTAATCGTTGTATCTTAGACTTAATTAGAGCCACGACCAGTTAGGATAGAGTTTAGATGACGAACACAATAATGATGATTTTAAACTTACAAAACACCTAAAATCAGGGTGGAAATAGATACATCAAATCTGATTGTGATCTTGAATCTAAAAAAACAGTTGGTATGACACCCGATACACATTTTATATAATAGTACATCCTTTCTGGTTTCATAAGAAAGATTTGTGACTATCGAAAAGTATTTGGCCGTGTTTTAGATATTTGTTACTCTTGTTAGGGAGGTAAACAACGTCGGTTTTCCCTTTATATTTTGAAGATTTTGTGTTCGTTATGAATACGCAATATGTGCCTTGCATAGGCATAAATGTCATTTGTTTCTAAACAATGTGAATAACCTCATTCTTCTTCTAAAACAAAGTATACCTGTGGAAATAATATGCATCATGCTTTTTGATTGTGTGTTAATTTCATATAGTGTCGAGATCCTAGAATTTATAGTGTCAACAACAGTCACTTATGATAAGTTAATGAATGAACTAATTCAAAGGCTTATCCTGCAGTTTCAGTCCCTTCATCAGCATATAATACTAAAAGTGATATATATATATGTACCAATTCAATCCTAAAATAAAGAATGGATATTGTGAACTAGTGGGTGTTTAACTTTTGTAGTAGTTTGTGCTTTATTTACTGAAAATTAGTGCATATTTTACAGGCTTATTTTTTTTATGGGATACTAAATTATGGAGACAAAGGCGTGCAGTGTGAATTCAGGATAAGCATACTTGAGTTTAAAGGAAAGTCTGATTTCTTTTTAATGCATTTCCACTGTGCAAAGCTTCTACGTGGTCTATGTTTTATCGGGTGGTGGTGTAGTTAAGTGTTGTATGCATTCCCACAAATCTGAAATATTCTTTGGACATCATATTTGAGGATTTTTTCATATTCGTACAAAAGGGTAAGGAAATATTTAGAATAGTTATAAATTTTCTTGACATAAGTAGGGTATGGATAATTCTTACTGCTCTAGTGTCTAGAGATGACGGATCATAATATTTGGCGGAGCGTAGAAATCACTCAATTCTCATTAAATTGCATCCATAAAAGGTTCTAAAGTGGAGAGGATGGCTGATTTTAAACCATGAGCCTTAATGTTGTGATGAATGTTATGTTTTACTTATAAGTGCATTACATGGACTTGTAGAGACAGATATGTGGTTTTTTTAAAGCCGATGCTATAACTTTATTCTTTTAAATTGAGGGTGCATGCCCGTATCAATACTTAAACATTAGGAGTTTGAATTTATGATATGTTGATGGAATTGCATGTATATTGCCTTTTTAGATGGATAGGAGTTGGATAGACGATGCGAACTATATCTTGGCTCAAATTTGGATAGGGTCAGGGCTTTCTTAGATTTTGCGTTCAAAGATAGGAACTCTGATGCTTCTATCTATGGTCCCTGTACGTCTTGTGGAGATCGCATAACAAAATCTCGTAGGGATATCTTGCTCCATTTGTATTCGCTATGGATTCGACCAATCCTACAAGGTCCGGACTTCTCATGGGAAAGGAGAGGCGAACTATGCGGCTATAGAAAACAATGTTCCAATGCATTGAGACGATGAACTAGAACTTTTGTTGTAAGAGTGCGCAACTACAGAGCACATTGGGCCGGGGCCCAGTAACACCGATGAGAAAGATGAAAATATACATTGTGGCAGTAAGGGATACAAAAAAGGTAAAGGTTAGAAGATGTAGAGAAAGAGCTTATACCACGGTGCAAGAAAATGAGCAGAATCTCATTTATCGCTCACCTTTTGCACTTGAAGTTTTTGTGCCACTGGGCTAATAAACCTATTGACTTGTTGTTAGAGTTGTTAAGGGATGCACTGCTAGACGATGTTGTCCTCCCGAAGAACTTCTACGAGGCTAACAAGATCACGAAGGACTTGGAGTTCATATGCAAGACTATCCATGCATGCATCAACAATAGAGACGAATAATAATTTGATTATTATATTTGCAGAGTCTTATTTGAGAACTAAATAATTCTTATATATGTAGTTTCAATCCAAGAAAAATGCATCTAACGTACAAAAAAAAAAACTTTCCACATCGTATTGGGTGGAAGTCCTTCACGACTCTCGCGGAGGATGTACCTTTTATTACAATTAAGTAATCAGTCCAAATTTCCTTTGTTTCTATGTTACGCTCCATCCCTATATTTTATTTTCGCATAGTTGATATGTATTTCAATGACGCAATGTCTTGTGTTGATGCAGATCAAGGCGAAGGGGAAGGACCCCGACAATTTAGAGATTTGGATATCCAGTTGGATACAAGCCAAGGGAGCAGACAATTAACAAACCGAAGATATATTGGTATAATAAATTTATTCCTTACGTTAATAAAATTTAGACATTAAGTGCCTCTATAACAATACGAGCAAGGTCGGCCTCACTTGATTCCTTTGTTGTAGACATATTTGCAGAATGAGCTAAACAAGATTCCCTCGGAAGGGCGGACTCCGGCTGTTCGAGAGACTCTTTACTGACGGGCTATTGGGGGAAAGAGCAAAAAGCGCTCAAAGGTTTACAGTGCCACGAGTTCAGCTCATCCCCGTAATGATGCAACTGATTTAACAAATAATGTAGCATTCCAGCAAGGGTGGGAAGAAATGTAGAGCGGATTTGCAGAGTTGAAGACAACGATGGCTGAGTTCAAAACCATCAAGGCTGATGTGTATGCATTCATGCACAAAAAATCCGGAGTAGTTAGTGGTCCATCTCTAAGTATTCTTAATATTCACTAGGATCTACTTATTCTTGATAGGCCACAGCTCGTGTTGATACGGTCTCTGAATTCTCAAGCCTGTGTCCGAATCACCTATGATGGTATGATTTTCTCAAACCCTAAAGTTAACTAAGTGTCAACTTTAGGCTAACCTTCTTCTCCAACCTGTATCCTTCCAACTCTTCTGCAATCTCTGTTGTAGGTTGGCACCCGTATGCTTATATTATCTCGTACCGAGAGAGAAGAAAGTTGTTGCTGAGGGACTTCTGCTCTGCCCCCCTGCACCAGGTTCGTAGCATTGTGCCTCAAATTTTTTCTTTTAAATCCTTCAATATGATGTTCATACCGCATTGTCGATGTTGTGACTGTACAGGTCTCATAGTGCAGTTGATTATGGTTTTATTGAGTATGGGCATATTTAATTTGACATATGTGGCAGTTAGAATATTATGTATATATAGGCTGTTAATGTAGGGACAGTGGCTATGTTGCTGTAATATCGATTTTGTACTGATCTTATATTTTTTATCGTTCACAATGACTGTTTATGGCTATGCTGTTATTATATTATTTAGGACCACACTACAGTCCTAAAGCTGATGAATGGTTGCTTTATTATTGATTATGTGTGTAGCCCCAACCTGCACACAATAGGTTTTTATGTGATGAGGATCACTAACATATAATTTGATTTATTAGTGGTCAATACTCTGAACTTGAACTCATCTGTGGGGGTCTGCTCATATTTAGTGCATAAATGATGATTAATCTCCAATGGCATGATACTACGACACATACATGGAGCAGTCCTATTTGGGGGTAACCAGAAGGAGTTATTAATTATTGAAATTATTATTTTAATATTGTACATGAACTGCTGTTTTACATAGGTTTTATTGTTGGATGGTTGGTTTATAGTTCGAGTTGCAAATGCATTGAAAATTAGAAAGTAGTGTAGTTTGGTGCCTAATTAATGGGTCAAATACCATGTATTGTACTACATGTCCGAATGTACATACTCGTGGTATATGAATTGGGAAATATATGGTGAACTACATACTTTTAAATTGCTCTTTTGAATGTTGTAGGTGACACACTTTCGTTGGTCAAGGTGTTCGTTACATCTGCCTCAGTACCGGACACACCCCTTATTTTGACGACAATTGCTGGGGCGACTACTTTTCGGGTGGTTGTCAGTGAAGATCCTATTGAGTGGAACTATAAGGACGTACGGATCTACTTTCTCATAACTTTCACATTTTGACTTCCAAAATTGAAAGAAATATTACTACTTAAAACTAAACCTTATTCTGTTGGTAATTGCAGCTCATGCACCACCCCTGAAGCATATCGACCGATTCCTTTATGTTTTGTCTCTGTTTGCCTTATCAATTGCATGTCGTAGATGTGCTTGGATGGTAGGTTTTAATGGCTATGTGAAATACATATGGAATATATGCATAGACATTTAGAGTTATTTTTGTGTGGTGAGAATTGTTGCTATGGATTGATAGATTTCCCCACTTGCTTATTACTAGGTTGGATGTTTGAAATGGTTGCATTTTGCGGAACATAATGTCGAAGCGGAGATGTTGCTAGGCTGTTTGATGGGTTACTTTATTTTGTTGCTTGGTGTTGGACATCGACTAGTAAATACTGTTACGTTAATAATGTTGGTATTCCCTTATAGTGTTTATTGTTTGCAATTATGGCCGATCGTAATATTTATAGCATGGTTGTATACAAATTTTCCTTTGGCATAAGAAAGATCACAACAGGTTAATTTGTTACACACAATTTCAACTGTACCCATAACTACTCTTTTTTATGAGACACTATTTTTCGTAACAAAAGGAAGAAATGGCGTAACAAAATGTTGTTTTGGATGTTTGTTTTTACGACCAGTTCTGCGACCTTAAGAATGGATAGTTTGTTAAGGGTTCAATGGCGTAACAAAAAAATTAAATGACATAACAAAAAAATGAAATGATGTAACAAAAAGAGGTTTTTGGACGTAACAAATATGAAAGGATAATTTTTTCACAGCGGGTTTTGTGACCATAGGAAAATATATTGTTTAACACGGCTTCATTGACGTAACAAAAAACGTACACTGACAAGCGGTCATTGTAAATATTTTGGTAACGAGAGGAACTTTTGTAACAAATATCGTGACTAAAAGTCCTGCCACACGCGTGGAAAGCTTGACTTTTCATTACGAGAGAATATTCATATCAAATATCATAACAAAAACCTTGCCAAAAGGAACGTTGACCGAGAGTAGTAGTTATGAAAATGTGTGTGGCAAAAAAAATTTGTGACGCGAGTACAGATTATAGATAAAAGTCGTCACTAAGGCGTAGAAAATATACAAATTGCACGAAAATTGGCTTTTTGTTACAAATTTTCGGCCCTAGCAGAAAACTGTTTTTACCAGGGTAAAATTTTCCCGTATCAATTCAAAGTATTTTCTTAAAACTTTTTTGTTTGTCTCATTCAAAAGCATCACTTCCTAATATAGTAAAAGTAGTTTATATATAAATACCAACATATCTTTACTTTTACACAAATTACAAAAACATAATTACTTTATTTGTACTTTTTAAGGGAAAAAAACGTAAAATTATCTTATACACTTCCACTAACCAATAAATACTATTATTTTTAATCCACTACAAAAAAAATAAATGACCCATTTAAAATGAGACGGAGGGAGTATAGTATTTATTAGTATCTAACAGAATTAAAAATTCATATAAATTCTTTTACATAGTTAATACTTAATTGAGATTAGCTCGATAAGTCGCGTCGATATACCAAGATGTGTCATGAATGGTTACGGCCAATCCACAACCGATGTCAGTGATTGTGAAACATGCTCTGATAGCAAAAAATAAACACAAATAAGAAAACGAACTACAAGACAAGGCTAGAAGAACTCAATAGACTTTATATTATTGAACTTGTTGTATATGCAAATCTATATTCTCAGTCTCACGAAAACTTGATGAAAATGATCGGAAAAACTGCGAAGGATTCTCTAGGACACTCTAGAAAGCCCCCAGATGATACTTTGTGTCTACAAAATTGGATCTTAGCAGAAAATCCATTGTTCGGAATGAAAAGAAAAGGGTTTGTAAATGAAATTTAATTAATACTAGGAAAAAATACAAGCAAAATAACAAGAAAACTATAAAAATAAAAAAAAAATGGATAATCTTGCAAAAAAAATAAATTGCAAGAAATAAAAAAAAAGAGAAAAATATTGATAAAAAGGGTAAAAATAAGGTTGAAAATGTGTTGGTTGGAGACCTTCTCTTCATCGCGAATCCTCCAGTTTATAGTTTTCCCAAACATTATAAACTCGCTTCAATCAATGTTTATTATTGCTCTCATTTATTTAAAGATCATGGCTCTTCATAAGCCCATGTAACCGATGTAACTTCATCACTCCTTGATGAATAATCGTTAAAAGGATAATTTATGAACCCCTAATCATCCCGTGAGATGAATAACGGTTGAAAAACCCTCAAACATCATTGAATCTATCATTACTTCACCTTCTTAATTGAAATCTTCATAACCCCCAGCTCTTTAATTTCTTATTCAAGCCGCATTTGTATCTCAATTACCACAATGAGTTCTAAAGTTATCGAATGTCCATCATATAACCCATGCGTTCACGGTATTCATCCATTTCCGCTGGACTTACTCAGCTTAGGCCTCACTCTTCAGTCACAGGTTGTTGCCTCCTTGTCAACTCTTCCTCCACTTTACGCTCAACTTATCACTTGGGCCTTTGGTAAATGGGGTCTCTTTTTCTTCTTGGTCTTTTCTCGACACTTACTTTTAGCACAAAATATGGCTTACTATTTCATTTATTTGGTCGGTGTCCACCCCCTTTGAGCTTCAACTAACTTGGATCATTACCCTCTTGCATTTGGACCATATAACATTTTTCTGAGGCCTGGATCCGCTATTTTAGTTCTCATTTCCACTAGTTTTATTCCTCTGAGATTCTTTTAAAATCTTGAAGATTTTTTGGTATAACAGATGTCCCATAAAAATATTTGTATGGTTCGCCTTCCGAAAACATCCAATATTATTGTAATTTCTCCTCCAAAGTGTTTCTCTTCAAATCACTTTTAGCGGAAAAATGAAGGGCCAAGAAACATTTTTGAGAGGAAGATTTCTTCTCTATCATTGCAGACTGATGCTAGCACTTTTCCACGGTTTTTTATTTTGAGGGAGTAGCTTTTGTACCCCTATACTTGATTCTGCCTGGTGCTCTCACATGCAACAGCACTGGATTGAATTTTTTTGGCAGTTGTCTATGAAGGCAGTAAGAATGATTGGTAGGCAACCAATGCTCCACCAAACTTTGAACCAACCTAGGCATCTCGTGATACTCCCAAGTGAAGTAGTCCCGAAACTCCCGAATCAGTGCAACTAACTTCTTCTTATGTTCTTGGACCAATAAAGTGCTAATTTTTTCATTTGAGTTCTATTCCATTTCTCAATTTGATATCGTCTAGCGATCTTGAGCATCAACTGATGGAACAATCCTCCGAATCGATAAAATAAACTTTCATCATCTAAATTGTTGTTGGCAGGTGAAATATCGTCAATTATTTCTTGCCCTAGCGATTTCACAATTTGCGCTTTATTTTGGTAAAGACAACTTCCACAACTGGTCCTCCCACTTTTCGACGATTTCGAGATCGTCAACCATCATATTCTTCCATAAAATCCAGCTTTGGATCGGCCTTCTTGTGGACTTCAAATTCCTAGATAGCGATGTTGCATTCCTCCCAATTTTCAGAATTCAGCACCATTATTGATAGAGGAAAACACATTCAAAGAATAATCACCATTATTGAAAGAGGAAACACATTCTAAGAATAATAAATGGCCTTCAAAGCATGGATCTCCAAAAGTGGATCCGCTTTTTCCTTCACCTTGTTCCTATTCCAAAACATAAGTTTATGGTAAAGAGTAGGAGACACACACTATAATGTGTAGATCCAACTGTGACTCAACATGGAAAAATATGTTGGTGTCCCTTATAAAGAATGCCATACGGTCCTTTTTGCTCCCAACAATGACATCCGTCACGCTACTCTAGCGTCCTTGTGGGCATTGCCCATAAAATTCATCATTTCATTGGAATCAACTCGTTCATAGTCTTTCCGATCTTCCTCAGTATGGAAAATGTCAGGATATTGACGGAAGCTCTGACATCCACTAACACCTTACTTACGATCCACCTATCAAAGAAGATGGTGAGGAACAATGGCTTAAGGTGTTGGGTTTCTTCTTCACCTATTTTTTTTTAACACCGATGTCTTTCTGCTTGATTTCTGTTGGGCTCTCTACATCATCAGCCCATAAAATTGAGCTTGAGCCATCTATAATCATGTCACCTTGCAGAAATTCTGGCTAAGAAGGTGGTGCATTGAACTACTCGGCATAATTCCAATCATACTGACTGCAAAGTCTCTATAATAGTTCATCGTTCTCTTTGTATCCTCATTCATCATGATGACTGTTAAACTGGTCTCGGACTCATCATCTTTTTCCATGAGAGCATCCTTTAGTGGATCATCTGACTGATCTTTTGTTAAGCTGCTAACAAAGGAATTTTTTAGTGTTTTCCTCTAGGTCCACGGGGAATGATATCTCCCACTAGAATGCACTTAGGCCGCCATTCCTTATCCGCAAGTGGTTCCACAAATCTTTTTGTGAAAAACTGTTGCAATTTTCACCAGGATCCTTACGTGTTGTCTTGCTGCCAATGTTTGGCTGCTAAATTGTTTTTTTTTTTTTTGCCTGATGTTGGCACTATATCCGCCACTTTTGCATTCTAGTTAAGGGTTTTTGCTGACTTTTCTACAGGTTCACCACCTATCTGCTAGTTACTGGAGGCTGTTCTAGGTGTTGTGTGGACTTCCTATTGATCACCATTTGGTTCACTGAAGTAACTCTCCAGACTCTTTCATCCTTGTAGAAATGAAGTTCCTCCACTATGTTATATGGTGAAAGTCTATTCAAAATAGAAATGCACTTTGGCAGCCTACTGGTCTACCCGACCCCCGTGCGTTTAGATAGTGTGGCCTTCCAAAGTGGCTTCCAAACCTCTTATAGTATGGATAAGGCCTGTGCCTTGGTTTGGCTCGGTTGTGTTCCAAAAGAATTAATGAATACCAGCTGAAGGTAACCCTTTTTGTTATCTTCTAGACCCGAGCCATCATCATCATATGGAATTTCTTGAGGATCTATAGAGATTTTGTTTCCCCCACCTTCTTCAGCTAAAGAAAGGCTTCTTTAGCTCTAATAGCCTTAGAAGTCAATATCCAGACATTGGTATACCATTTGAAGACAAGTTTCTTTCATAATTGACTATGCATCCTATTAATAGCAATGTCTAAAACTAA